AAAATTTTGGAAATGATACAATATAGGTTGCCAGGGGCTGGGAGAGGAGAGAGAGGAGGGGAGATGTGGTTAAAAAGGCACCATGGGGGATCCGTATGGTTTTGAAATTGTTCAATATCTTGAATGTGGTGATGAACACATAAACCTACACGTGATTACATTGTACAGAACTAAACACACACACAATGGACACAAGTAAAACTGGGGAAACCTGAATAAGACTGGTGGATTATATCAATATCAGTATCCTGGTTGTGACACTGACATTTGCAAAATGTCCCCATTGGAGGGAAACTAGGCAGAGTACACAAGGAATGTCTCTGTATATGACTGTGTGAGAATCTACAGTCATCTCAATTAAAGTTTTATTTAGAAAATACAAAAAAGTCTTGTCAACCCAGAAACAAGAGATAATACAAGACCTTTTTAGCCTCAGAACTCTGAGGGTCTATGGGTCAGAAACGAAGGAGCTGCCCCAACCCCAGCTGAAGGTGCAGGCAGAACAGCACTGCCAACACGGCGCTTCTCCGACTCCCTCCTCGCTGTGTGAGCTGCAATTTAAAGATTTCTGGAAAGGGAGGGAAAGAAATAGAGGCATACTCTGGACCTGACCATCCCAGAAAACAACACAGTTCAATAGTGTACAGAGCAATGCAATCAAGCGGCTAAAACGTGTACAGGCTATCAGTAATGGAATTGCAGAAAAGGGATTGTATAGTGAGTGATTTCATACGGTCCCCGATGGTGCACTGTCCACTCCACACGGGAAGGAGAGGGTGGGCAGCCGTGCTCACCAAGGAATCTCAGCTCCTAGCACTGAGCTGGACACACAGAAAGTGCTCAACACATATTTGTTCACTGCGTTTGGATGAAAAAATGAAAAGCCCACATGGCCTATTATAATATGCTTCTCTTTTCCTTCCCTACAAATGTCTCTTACTTTCTCCTTACCCGCCACCTACACTTACACACACAGCGCCCAAGGCTGTTTCTGCCACATCCAGGCTGGGCAGCCATCGAACCTGTCTGTGCCTCAGCCCTGCTCGCCTGTGATGCGAGGACAACACCACCTCGCTCAGAGGACCGCCGTGAGACTTGAATGAACTGTGTGCACAGCCCTTACAACAGGATCCGGCATGTCGTAAGTGCCATGTCAGCGTTTGCTCAGCTGCCACATAATTCTGACACTGATTATCAGAGTTAGCTCAGACCTCGCAGGTGAAGGGCGCCAGCCTCCACAAGACGGCCCTTACTTTAGACACTAGCCACGAGCTCCAGGGTTCCCAGGCCACCTATGCTACTGACATACTGTCTACAAATTTTGGGAGTTCCCACTCCCCCTAGAGTTCCATATGTCACTAGGTTGTCTCTGGGAGGGCCCCAAACACGAAGCTTCTTTGTCCTCAGTACTCCTTACCTGGCAGCACATCAGTGCATGATTACCATCCAGGAAGCTCACTGGAGATCAGCGTCCAGGAGGTTTTTATTGGGGTTTCAGTATACAGACATGATGACTGAATCATTGGCTACATGATTAAACTCAGTCTCCAGCCCCGCTCTCCTTCCCACTTGGGAAATTTCAAGGATTTAGAGGTTATCTCCCAGGAACCAGGGACAAAGATCAGCCAAATTCTTTATTATACAACATAAAGAAATTTAGTAAATTGAATAGGCAGAAAGGGGGAAGAAAACATCAGGAATGGGGGTTGTCTAAAAATAAAGAGGCAGAAGTAATCCTGGCACAGTAGAAAGACCCCTTCTCTGATTGAGCTTCGCTATATTGGAATGTACCAGCCTTGAAGTTGAAAGACCAGGGCTTTGACCATGGTTCTAACAGTCAAAAACTATGGTGCCATCTTGTGGGAGTACAGGGATCATTGTCAGTCCATTTAAATCCTTTCTATGAGAGGGGGCGATAATTTAAATAGGTACACACACAACTTAGTGGATTAAAACAAAAATATTTTTTCTCTCAAATACTGTGGATTGATTGGGCAGTTTTCTGGCTTCCCTGCAATTCATGTGTCCGCATTCAGCTGGCTGATGGCTGAGCTGAAAGCTCCAAGAAGGCCCCCTTTACACATGGGGGACCTTGGTGCTGACAGCTAGGGTGCCCCAGCTCTCACCTACAAAGCGTCTTGCTACAGGCGATGTCTCATCGCCTAGTCCTTCTCTACACGATGTTCTCACTGCAGCAGGGTAGCCTAGACTTCCTGAGGAGAGAAAAGCAGAAACTGCCGGTGGTGTGAAGGCACAGCACTTTTCCCACCGTGTTCTGTTGGTGACAGCAAGTCACAAGGCCCATCCAAATTCAAGGGGAGGGGAAACAAAGCCCATATTTTGATGGGAGGAGCCGCATTCTGCCTGTGTGTACAGGGAGGGAAGGGATCATTGCAGCCATCTTCAGAGACTCTCCCTTATTCTCTGGCTCCCAGTTTACTCATCTGAAAAATGGATATTTTATGATCTACTTCAACTAGATTCATGAGCTTCAGAGACATATGACATACGATATGTGGCAGCATTTTATAAATTGTGAAGTGCTAAACAAGTACAATATGTTACAGTGGCGGGTGGTAAAGGCAGATTGGAAGAATGAGGGCAGACTATACAGGACTATAAAAGGAAACAGAGGAAGGGTCTGTCATGATAACATTTATTGAGCATTTACTATGTGCCAGGCATTGTACTAAGTGCTTTACAGGTATCCTCTTCTTTAAGTCACCACAACCACCTTCAAAGATGCAAATTTCATCGCCATTTTACAGAAAAGGAGCTGCGGGCGAGTGGCAGGGCCGGAATCGGGGCCCAGTCCTGCTGGAGCCTCAGCCCCTGCACCCAGAGCTCTTCTCTCACCTGTCTGTAGTCCTCAGCCGCTGGCCGGGGCAGGCGGCAGCCCCCAGGACTGCTGAAGCAGAGCCTGGGAGGCGGGACCCAGCACCTGCCCGTTTACAGCCGCGTTAATTGGAGCACTGAGCCTCACTGTGCGTAGTAAGCCTCCGGAGGTTCTCGGGTTCGAAGGCACCACGAAGCCCCGCTGGGAGGAGGAGGAAGGGCAAGAACAGGCCCAGCGACGGGAGGACGGGGGCTTTCAGAAATCGGGGTGTGTTCCAGGGGGTGGTGCTCACGCCGGGAAGTGAAAGGACGGCTGGGGAGGCTAGCAGCCAGGCCCGGCAGCCTGCCGGTAACCACACTGACATGTATTTATTAATTCGCCTTCTGCCTTTTTGCTTTCCGCCCTATTTCCTCTGCTAGAAACCCCCGAGTCCCC